AGGGTAACAGGGAACATGCTGCTTCCAAAATTGATACCAAAAGCGTACTTTTTAATTGCTTTTCGATTGAAACTTCCAAATTCTTGTGTTTTTTTTCTTTTCATTATCAATCAGAGAGATGTGCTTGAAATTTCGAAAAATTACAAAACTGATGAATTCTTTGAAATTCAATCTTTATTAATTTTGTTACATTTAATTCGTAAAATCGTGACATAGTACTACTTGCTTCTTGAGATTCGCGTTTCTACGATCCAGTTCCAAGCAGAGTACTTCGAAAGAGGCAATTAACGACTGTATATCTATGAACAAACTTTTCAACGATAACCATCGGTTCTCTCGTATAGGATTGCAGTTTACACCGGTCGTTATTGCGTCCAACTCGAAGAAAACACGGTCGGAAACGATGTTATCGTTCCGGCGTGAGTACTGTTGCAGAAACTTTGGCCATCTTCGCTTTGCCGTGAAGCGATTAGCTTCGGAGCAAGACGGGGTTTGGAGGGTGACGTACAAATTGCCTCTGCACCCGTGGATCGTGCTCTTGATTTATTGGCATGCACTGCGATCGGTAATTGGGTAGCACGCGCTTAAACTGCTTAATCAATAATCCAGGGCGATCATCAATCTATAATAATCACGACATTACGCGAGGAGATAATCTACGCGGTGCGAACGATGTCCCCTTGAAATGGAAATTTGGTACTTACCTTTGCTATCCTCAACAATTCAATTGAAATAATCACAAATTATACGTTCAACGTTATAATAACTTTTAGATATTTTTCGCTCTTTAATATTTAATATTGGAAGAATAATTTTTAAAGGAACAGTGTGAAATTTAAAAAATGGAAATTAAATGAAATACAAAATTAAATTGAAATCGGGGCTCTCTCCATGGTCCGCCGTACGACTACCTCTTAAAAGACACTGCACTGTATCGCAGATATTTCTTCCAATTCTTGGCAAATATCCGCCTCAAAGAAAATTGTGAAATAGATTACGACCTTCGTCCCACGTTCAATTTAATTAGACGTATAAATCCGGTACAATCGTAAACTCGACGCTGAGATCCACTCAGCCTGTTGCTGAGAGCAGCCGACATCAAAGTCGTTCTATCGTTCTCCGCGAAGATCCGGTAAAATTCATAAATGCGACGATACTCAGTGATAATCGTGTCGTGGTCGGATTAACGGAGTCAAACAAACGTTCAGAGACGTCGGCCATCTAACAGGTAGGACACAGAAGTGGTGGAGAGATGGAACGAGATTGAGAGAAAGAGCGATGGTTTAAGCCGTATCCATTTACAAGTTTCAAATCGTTCTGGCAGTCGGAGCCTTTTGAAAGAAACCTTTTACCATTCTCAATAGACGGTAAAATTCTGAAACGCGCTTAACGGCAGCGTGGCTTTTAAACGTTAACATGGCCACTGGTACAATGGCGGGGTCGCATTATGCTCGAGAATCGTAGGGTGAAAAAGGGACGGGGAGGACGAAGGAGAAGGAGTTAGCGCAGTGAACGGGGGATGGGGCAAGACGAAAGGCCGATGAACAGGGAAGAATTGCTCTCTTCCGTCAACGCCTGCCACTTGGAGCCATCAAGCTCCATTTTTCCTCTCGTCAAGGGAATTTAACCCTAAAACGAAAGTCGCTGATACTCGTCCAACTTCGTCGCCAGATTCGAAAGCTTGTTTCACCGAGTACCTTCACCCAAACGACGATGAACAACATTTTCACTTGGACTTCTTCTTGGAAAACGATTCGTCCAGACCTGTGAGTTGGACCTAGTTTTGAAAGGAAGTAAAAGTCATCATCCTTAGAGTACTTGCAATATTTTTCATGACACGAACTCTACATTAATGCTATTTAACAATTCTAATTTTTAGTTTATGAATGGCAGATTTGAAAGCACTAGGGGATTGTAGCCCCCTATCTTAAGTCCTGAAAATATACCACTGACCGAAATATATTTCCATTCGATTCCTCTAGTTGATAAAGTTAGCCATAATTTTCCGAGTAGGGTAGGAAAAGGTGACGCGAAATAGTCAGATAACAGACAGAAGTCTACAGTAATTTCACACGGACGGGGTCGTTTATGGATCATTTAAGGAAGTTTCGTGAGGTAAGAGGATAAGAGGGGTCAGTTATGGGATGGAGCAAAGGATATTTCGGGGTGTGTTTTTTATTGAAATGAGCGCATCTGGCGTCCGATGAGGGGTCAGACAGCTGAGCACGCATCTTTTACCATCTCCTTCCCTCTCTGAACCCTTCGCATAGACGATTGGCGAGCATTTACCTCCTTGATGCGAGGATGGAGTTTTCGAGAGCCCACCACCACGAAAATAAATCCCCTTATGAAAATTCGAACTCGGCAGCCAGTTTTTCTTTCAAAATTTATTGGACCGCTCGCAGATCGCTGACCGTACTGACCTTACCACCCTATAAGGTTCAGTCAATGGTCCTTTTCCTGCCTGGGGGATCTTAAAAACATCCTTGAACGAGGCGCTTCCAGCAGCGACACGTGGCTGAATGATAAAAATAAACGTTCGATCGTGTCGATATTTCCCGAAGGATGATAATAATATTCCGTAAAGCGTAAAACTGAGTATTAGGACTCGTCGCGAGCATGGTATCAAGCTATTTCGTTGAAACACGAATCGCACTCTTGCTACTTCGAAACGACACCCTGCCAGAAACGTTTTGGAAAATGTCCTCGCGTTCCAACGAACGTCCTTGTCGAACTTTCTGCCACGGAATGAAATTTATAGGACAATGTAATTTCATTTCGCCTGGCCAAGTAGACGCGGTGTCGGTTCTATCATAAATTCATGCGATACTTCGCATACATTGTAGGCTGCATACCGCTCGGCCGCCAACTTTATTCCACGCGCGAGAAACGGACGAACGGCACGGCGCGGGCCCGTCTTGAAAAGTCTCAGTCGTAACTTTTGAATACCTCTTAAAGGAGGACAACTTCGTAATATCCTGTAGGATATTAGAGCGCCCTTTAAAAGAGGAATAATATCGGTAACGTTGAACGATCGCCTCTGGTAGATCCTCGCGTCCGTACGTTGTGTGCAGGCCCAGTAGATACGAACAGGAAGTAGTTAAATGTTACCGGTGTCAGGACGAAGGAAGCCTTTGTGCAGGGAGAGTACTCAGGCTCCATGGAGTTAGCCGACTGGCAGAGTACTATAAATTACATAAATGAAGTATGCCCCTTCTTCGCTCAAACGGACGTCTTGCCAAGTTTATAACTTAATCACTGGCGCTTTTCATGCCGGTGGAACAGCTTGACGGTCGTGGCAACGGTAGACAGTGTAAGTTGTGGACAAAGAGGTGCCTGCAGAGGGCGAAGGACGTTCGGATAAAGAGGGTTCTGTGAAAGAAAAATTGAATTGTAAAAAATGACAGTTGAAAGCAAAGTACAATTCTTGATAATCGAATGAAAAGGTGTATTTGATGTTTTATCATTGCAGCGGTTCTGTTGGATGTAAGTTGAGTAACTTTGCACAGTTTCGGCGATATTGAAAGCAATGGGTGCTCCAATCTGTGCATTCTTCCTTTAATTAATTTTATACCTACATTAGGTTTATATTGCGTTTCTCAGTTATTATTACCGGCCTCCCTTTGAGTTACTATGTCAATTAATTTTACATCATTTACAAGGTTATACGTATTTTACGCTGGATATGAGATATTAAATTTATGATGGCGAATAAGGTGCATGGAAGTGGAACGACCGAATTATAAAATACCATATTTGAGGAAGATGTAACTATTTTATTTGCAGCGAAATGGCATCTGCTAGTCTTCATTTTATTTAATATTCTTAAAACGTAACAGTGAAAGAAAGAATATATATATATTTCTATCCACGCAAATTTTGATACCCATCAGTTTACCTATGAATCAGCGTAAATAAATAAGGAGGTAAATTAAGATTGATGGACGTTAATTACAGGAACAAACTGTTGGACGGCCGTGTCGTCGTGGGCGGCTCGTTCTAGCGTAATTTAATTCAGGCCAACCCCTATCCATTTCCGGTGTAAAATTTAAGAGAAGGAGAACGCTCGAAGAATCGCGAGCTGTCGACTCGCATTCAACTCTGGTATCCATCGGCTGTGTTTAATTACGAGTCAGCCGGCGTAGTTTCGCTCGCTTTCTCGCTGGTAGACCGCTTCAGCACGGAAGCACTAACTTCTACCGGTTATCTTAGGCGACATCGCACGCTGGATTCGTATAACTCGCTCGGCTGGCGGAGAACTCGAGCTTGAATTACTATGCCCGGCGAGAGAAAGAGAAAGGGAGAAAGATTCGTGGCGTAGGAGGCGACGCGAAGGGCGGTCGGTGGAGCGAAGAGGGCGAGATTAAAACACCTGGAGACCAATGCAAAGTTTTTAATAACCCTTGATGCTTGATTAAGTTATGACTCTTCGCCGGCTCATCGTCTGCTCCGTCCTTCTCTTTCTCTTGTTCCTCCTCCTCTTCGAGCGAAATAAATTTCGAGCAGAAATGCTTAGACCGCGTTCGAGTGGAACGGGACTCGGCTTGAAGGGTTGGCAAGGAAACGAAACTCGTCCGACTCGGCTGAATTAATGGAAGATCCGTCGGGATAGTTATCTTGGTGGCAGAGAACTCGTGGAAGTTACGTTAACTCGGACGTTCTTGAACGCGACGAATTACGCGGAATAAAGAGTCGTTCGTCGGGATCGAGCGACGTATTTAACGTGTCGGTCAAGATTCCGTTTCGTTCTGATAATCACCGAAGCGCTGACTGGAAAGAATTTCCATTTTATTCGAAACGACTTTCAGTAGAAAGAGATTCGTCCGATCATCTTCTTCGTTTGATTAATTTTAACTCTTGAATATCTGAAATTATTTTGATGGAATTTAAAATTCGAAAATATGTTTTAACAATCCGTTGAGTATTCTATGTTTCAGAATAATTGAACAAAATAAAATTAATTATCTGTTATTAATGTACATCTGTTCTTTCTGTTTCAGGCTTCGGCTTCGTCACGTTTCAAAGCGAGGACGTGGTCGACAAAGTCTGCGAGATTCATTTCCACGAAATCAACAATAAAATGGTGAGTCACTAGTCAGCCAACAAAGCCTGTTTGTTGAATGAAGAGAGTACTCTCTCCCTACCACGTGCCCACAGAGGTGGTATCAAACGATATTTGCCTTCCGCTTTCCGTCTGCGGATACGGCGTCGAGCAGAATTAATTTTCCGTATAATTGAGAAGGGTTGTCGTGGTTATTTGCGTTTGACACGCACGCACGTGGAACACACTTACACGCGCACCACCGCAGCCTAGTCCCATAGATCATATGGTGGAAGACGACAAGCGGGTACTGGAAAGTCCGTTATAGTAGAGATCACACGAATCCTACGGTGATAGACAGTTCTGTTTGTCGTCAACCCCCCACTGAAATTCTCTCGTCGTCGATCAAGGATTTACCGGATACCACTTCTAGTTACCTATAAATCCATCGCCTAGACGATCTCGATTCTGTCAGTAATCTACTATCACAATGATTTCCTCAGGCATTGGCCACTTGCCGGTATAAAACAACCCCTGTTTGCATTAGACTGATAAATTGGAATAAAATCTTACGATGGTATCCATACCGAACATGACTAGTTTCCTTATTATCTAACGTCAACGATTATACATCTTCGTATCTCAGATACTCCATCCGAAATACTACCCCTATCCTAAACATCATTTCCCGCCGTTATCCAGAACCTGATAATTCCAGAGCGAATCTCCAGTGGTCGAACAGGACTCACTCACAGGTCTGTCTTGAATTTCAAGGTCGAGTGCAAGAAAGCACAGCCGAAGGAAGTGATGCTCCCGACGAACCTGGCGAAGACGCGAGCGGCCAACAGAGGCGCATACGGTGAGTTGGTGATGGTCGCAACACCCACTCCCACCACCTATCGTTACGCGCCGTATCCCCTGCCGACGGCCGCTGCCGCTGCTGCACATGCAGCTGCAGCAGCCTCCGCCGGCACATCCCACCACCACTTGCTCGCCCCGATCGTCGCTACCGCCGCACCGAACGCGGCCGCTACCTATCAGTACGCCGCCGGCGCAACCGCACCTGCGGCAGCCGCCGCGGCTACCACCGCCGCTGTCTACGATGTCAAGAGGGCACTCGCTGCTGCGGCTGCGGCCGCGGCCGCGGCTTCCTACAGGCCTCATCCGGTCGCGGCCGCAGCAGCATCTCGGGCCGCCACTCTCACTTATTCCATGAGCGACCTGTTGGGAGTGCAGGGTCTCGACATGGGTGCCGTTTACCATCCGATACCAACGATCGGTCTATGACCTACGATACTCACGCCCCTTTCCAGGCCTCAGTAGTCTGTTCCACGTAAAGGGGTACGATCGACAGTATTCTTTCCGTTCTTCGCGATTCTTTTACAATTTCTTGCTCGTTTCGTTAACCTTCAGTTTCTGGACTTAGGGAGAATGCAGGACATTCTTTTTTTTTATTTTTCGGTACGGTCACGTCTGGGTTAGGAATGAACGTCGCGATGTTCGATTAAACTGTGCCAAAAATTAAGGATGGTACAAATTTGGAAACTTAGATGCTTTTAGTGAGTCTTTTTTTAGGGCGTTCAGAATTGAGAGATGTAATTCGATGGTTTGTGAATGGAAGTTCGTATAGTTTGGATGATTATCGATATTTCGTTTCTGTCTCTAACTGTATAGTATTTATTTGTAAATATTATTTAAATCGTGTTTGTAATATTGAACGAGATATCACGTGCCTTTCACGGCACATCGAACATTCCTCGATTAAGACTCGTCGCCTTCGGTTTCGAGAAAGTATTAGAGTAAATTGTTTTGCAGTTGATTTCCGACTCGGCATGACGGCAAATTGAGAACATATCGAGAAGTGCAATAACGGTAGCTTTAGACGGAATCATTCCTTTATATTTCCGGAATCCGAGTGTGGGAATAGGCGAATTCCCGCGAGACTGCTTGAAAAGCTCAGTTCAGTACAACTGTGATCGTAGTGAGAAGACAAAAGGAAAGATAAAAAAATAGAGATATAAACTAGTAGCAGTAGTTGATCATAGGTACGTTCGTGAGAACTTGATTAGTCACCTATGCGGCCTGATTTTTCTCGTAGCCAAAGATGTAGGTATTAATAGCAACGAAACAAACGCATCGCAAAAGACTGGTAGTGATTTTCTAGTTGACTAGACAAATGGTAGGACAATAAAAGAACGTGTTCAAATTTGTAGAGACGCAAACGAGTTCGTTTCGGTGAGCAGATACATCGAACATATTTTTTCCAAGAATCTCTCCTCCTCTCTGTAAATTAATCTCATTGTATCTCTAGGATACAATACAAAATCATTCAAAGTATCAAGTAGAATAGCCAAGTGCTTGCAAAAAGACAATCAAAAACAAACCCTGATTGCAACTTACAATCATCGAGACCTTATAAAATATCGAACTGTTAGTATCTCTGTTTAGAGGAGGAGAAATAATCAAAAAATAGAATAAAATCAGACGGATACGTAAACACGTTAGGACGTTTAGACGATCGGAACATATACGTATTTCTGCCTGGAACGACTCGCGTTCGTGACAACACATTGTCAATTGATTCGTAGATTTTTAGAGAAACTCTTAGGAATTGGAGATTTTTAAGGTAGCACTCGTTGTTCGCGGGAACGTGATGGTGTCGGCAATAGAAGAAAATAAAATCTTGAAAATCGATCTTCGTCGAGGTCCTACGCTTTATTTAGCGCAAAAGTGAAGGTTGTTCGCTCGATTTCGAGAGCGAGGGCGCCCGTCGTCGAGATCGTAGATTGCAAGAATCCCAACAAAAATGAGAATTAAAAAAAACGGAAATGGGAAAGGAAGGTACGAGTACGTGGGAGGAATAAAGAGAGAATACATTCCCAGGTAGCGGCACGCCGTGTATTATTCCCAGAAGAAGGTGAATTTCTGATTTTCACGAGATGATATGTCGGGAGGCATAAATAATCCGTGAATGGTGAAGGCGGATAGCGCGTCGAGAACGCGCGGCAAATGGTCGGCGATAAGCATTTCTCATTCGTCGCGCCTTTCAGAGTATTTTTCGCAATGAATTTCATGAAATTTCATAATATCGAACGTAACAGCCACGTACTCCGGTGTACGGTGTACGCGTGTACGATAGAATACCAAAAGGAAAAACAAAAAGAAATAAATAAGATGAATAAAAATAAAATTCTAGAGAAAAAAGGGGACGCGAAATCAAAGCGCTATCTGTATGTATATAAATGCACGCGCGAATTTATATACATATATATAGCGTAATCATTTACGTATATTAACATGTATAATTATATGAATATACAAGACGTACCTAAAAAGAAGAAAAGGGAGATGAAACAAAAAAATTCTATCTATATATATGATCCATTCTAGATAACGGAAGATTATATACATATACATATTATATATATATATATTGTTTTGTATCTACGTATTTGGTAAACGCAATATAGTATTTGATATTGATATCGATATATTTTGTGAGAGCCGCATTACAACCTTCTAGTTTTTGTAATAGAACTACAGATTATACATATCGGAGCATATCTATATTTCTATTTATACATATATATATATACATATCTAGGTAATTAGGTAAACATTTGTGTTGTTACGATACCTTAGTTACTTAATGAGACTTTTTAGGTGAAACTAGGTTTGAATTAGTTAGAGCGAATATAATTTTTAACAAATTACTATACTATGTATACGTTCCTACCATTGAGACTACTAGTTAACTATAGCTTTTTGGGAAGTCACTATAATATCGTTAGTTTAGAATATATTCTAGGTATTTCATCGTGGAACATCTCATCCGTCTCTTTCGTAATTAATCAATTCGTATTAATAAATAACAATCTCTATAGGATTCAAATGAAATAAATAGAAAGAATAAAGAGAAAGAGAAACGAAACATTTTCCATGATGTATACATATTATCAGCGGCTTCAAAGAGACCTATTTACAATGTACCTATTACTTAACAAGCTACGTTACATAGTACGTTTATATTACGTTACACGTAATATTATACCTTTCTATAGGATATATACTAAATATATATCGTGCGTATACCCGTCTATACCTATACCTTACAGCCACCCGTACTTCCTACCACCCACCCTGAGAAACAAGCCCTATTTACTCGTTTACATAGTATTTAACTCTTCTAAGCTATATATTTAGCATCATTTACCTTAATAATAATGCGTGAGACGTGTGTCCTAGAAAGTACGTACTTTGCCCGAGAGGCTCAACAGTGTCATTTTCGTAAGTAGACCAGATCTTAACATGCGGTTTATCTTTCTGTTCACCTTTGTAATGCTTTGTTGGGCCGGATTTTGGTTTCTCTTACGGGGAACGTAGCGTTGCGCCTATAGATTGTGAGAACCCGATTAGAAATATTATCATGCGTATTTTATTATCCTTTCCCGTAAGAGTGACGGGCGCAAACACTACGCAAGTACGAGCATATTTGAAGCAACAAGAAGAAAAGAAAGAGAAAAAAAAAAGAAACAGAAGAATTATGAAAGAAAAGAACACAAGTGAGACGAAACGAATTTTCGTGTTCCTCGTCAAAAAATGTTTCTCTCAACATTCTTTCTCTCTCTCTCTCTCTCTCTATCTATCTCTATCTCTTGGGAAGCATCCGACGGCGAGGAAGGATCAAAGAACATAATCGTAAAATTTCGAAAGAGTAACACTCGATGGAATTGCAGGCTGCCAAAGCAATCGATGTGACGTAAATGTTAATCGTCCAGCAACTCGGATCGTAAATTCGAGCGAAGCGATCTTTATACGCTCCTCGAAATTGTAAGAGACTATTAATGTTAACGTCGCACGCAAACGTATGCTGCTCTACGTGAAATCGATTTGTGTGCATCTGAGAAAGTACACGTACATTATATCATTATATATGCATAATAAATATACAAAGTCCGTACGATTGTCCGAAATACAACAGAAATGCATACACGTTCCAGTATATGCACATCACAAATATTTATATAAATAAATTAATCTATACGTATATGTCTAATATTCGAATCCATTTACGTGTTATATAATAAATCAATATATCTATATATATGGTACTTAAATAAACGTCAAATAATATTTGAATGCGAAGTTCTTCATTTTGTTTATCGGACGGATATTCGAAAGAGAGTAAATTAATACAAGAGAAAAAGAAATATGAACATAAATGAGAGAAAATCTGAAAAAAAAAAAATGAAAGGAAAACAATATATCACACTGAGAAATGATAGTGTTGTTGCGTGCTTGACGTAATCAAAACCAGCCCAGGTAGAGAGACATTAGGTACGAAATCACTAATACTATTAATATGTATCAGTGTATCTTTTAATGGCTAGAATAAATGCTCTTATACTTTTCCATCTGCGTATATTGTGAGAGCAGCGTCGATATGGACACTAGAATAGTGAAACAGTAGTGTAGTATTGTGGTCGGTGTTTATTTTAAATATTGTATCGTCGATCTAAGTGTGGTAGTGGTGTCGATAATGTGTCAAGCGTTAGAACGAATGAAGAATCTAAAAATTTTTACAAAAATTTATACGAATAGAAAGTTATATCGTTTAATAATTCGATTTTGAAAATTCATCACAATCTTCCTCGCGATCGCACGACACATTACTGATCCTTAGTTAATATCTAATAAGCTATATAGTCAGCCTAGCAAATATTACTTAACGGTAAATGATTAACCAATACCTTGAAGGCTACAATAACCATAGATCATAGGAGGGTTTATTTTGTCGTAGATTGGAAACACCTCGGCCGCGCGTAGTTACTAGTACCTTGTCACAGAATTTAGTCGATGCGCTACATAGTCGATGCGATATACATATATAAATAGTCAGAATCTTAGTTGTGTGGTCTTTTAAATTAGTATAAAATTATGAAATTTCATGGATGCCTTTCTTTCTCTCTATTTCTGTTATACTATAATTCCACACTATATTTCTCTGTCTCTGTCTCTATCTTTCTATTACTCTCTGTTCTCCTTTTTCACTGTCTAACCTAGAAGGCTTTTAATCCGGTTTCTTGTTTCAATCTTTCTGTTTTAATCATTTCGTTTTTATCCTTCTCTCATTGTTTGAACCTAGTCATCCAGTTACACTGAAATCGTCTATTCCGACGAATTTCTGCAACGCTTCGCTTTATACTTAACTTGTCTCCATGTAAATATATTTAATTGTCTACGCATACCTTCGCCTGCACGAAGAAAAATATTGCACGCGAAATCGTCGGTTAGCCAATCCCAAGAAAGTTTTTCATCCGATAGTTTAGAAACTCTGTTTAGTTATTTATCCCCATCGACGATCGTGTCACTCCGATTTTAGAACACATCCGATACTTTTCTTCGTGCTTAGTTGCAGAAATTTCTGTTCAGTCTTTCGAGACCGTTGCACTAACTGATCAAAGCAACAATAAAAAAAAAAAAAAAAAAAAAAATAGAAAGTAAAGTAAACGAAGGGAAAAGAGCGACAAAAGATGCAAAGACTACATTTTTTACATATTCTGATCAGTCTCGTCTCGGTATTAATGTGATCTGTTTTTCCTTATAGATTTTATGTGGTCCCTGGCAGGATTACCCGATGGTGAGTATAAAATATGCACGAACATGTTCAACAAAACGACTCGAATGCCCGGTGATATGCCTACCGTTCCGTAACAACATTCAATCACGTTTGACGTAAGAACATCGTTGTAATATTTACGGGTCGATCAATTACGAAGACAATGGAAATTCTTTTATTTGTTACTCTCACATTTCAGCTTTCTGGAAATGTTCATTACGCATCTTTTGATAATTTTACAATAATAACGCGTGTACTTTGTCGTAGTATTAGAGAGGTGATATATTAAATGAATTTGAATTCAAACATAATGCTTTCAATTAAATTTATTGTATAGGGTAATACGGTACGTATTAGTTTAAGAAGTATTTTACGCGAGAAGACGTACAGTAGATAGTAGTTGATAGAGAATAAACGTGTAAGTGGGTATAATTTTAAATTAATGTTTCTATGCCCTTTGCAATATGCTGAATAAGTTCAAGTCCCTCCAACGAGACGAGTCAGTATATGTTTTCAAATTCACGCGCTCGACACAGGGCCGAAGCTCAGTTGTTTCCAGTTCTTCAAATGCCTGCTTCGAGCATGTGAATTTATACGCATTTACTGTCTCGTCTCGTTGGATGGGCTGTAGATACATGAAAACAGTGATTGAAAATTAAATAGCAATCTTCGCTCAGTTGAGATTAGAAAGAGAATTAGAAATTAGTAAACTGAATTACTTCAAAAGTACCCGATTATCACAGATGATTCAGCATTAAAAGTAACTTAGTCCTCTTACAAGATTTGAAACTAGTATTTCTAAATGAAAGAAAAAAAAAACTGACACGATATTTCATTTTGTTCGCAGGTTTCCCAGCGGCGGCGTACACGGCATACGCGGCAAGCCGCGGCTATTCTGGGTACCCTAGTTTCGGACTGCCCTACCCGACAGGTAACCACCTTAGCCTTAACCACCTTAACCACCATAATGCGGCCCACATCGCGCCCTTGAACCTGAACTTGAACCTTATACAGGCGCAGCCTGCACCTCACCATAATCCACCCACCCCCACACCGCTCTTTTACCATCCTAATTTGGACCTCTACAACGCCATGCCTCTGTGAACTAACTAATTATTATCTATCAATAACAACTCGACTCGAGCTATGCGCACACATTAACCCCCCATTGCTACACCAACTAACTGTGCTCTCGTTGTCACTACTCGTCGCCGTCTTTGTCGTCGTTCTAACACGAATCAAACGTGGCTGTTAATCAGTCTGAACTGATTCTAATGAAAACTAGGTCTGATTCGAAGCGAGGAGTAACCTCTGATCTAGCGCAGCACAAGGATCTCTCGAATGGAACCTTCAGATGGAACTCGTCCACGAAAATAAGAGCTCGTTTTTCAAGATAACAAGGTCAATAATAATCAGAGCGGAATAATTTCATGGGAGTTCGAGTATCCAGGAAAATTCGAGATTCGTTTGTCTGTGCAAAGATAGAGCTACATTCGTTCGCGTCTGATTTATGATTCTTGTTTCTTAGAAGAGCAAAGGTACGTAAGTTGTTGGAAAACAGTTTTCGTGACGAATTTTTTTTTTTTTCTGGACAATAGTCGGGAATAAGGTATTACGCGACTTCACAGGTCGACGTTCCTTGAGAACGATGCGCTTGTACGCTCCGAGTCCTCAAAGGGGGACATTGTACATTATTGAGCAGCGTCTGCTCAAGATTTCACGATCGAGTGACTTTCGAAAGCTTCGATCGTTGGCGTGTTGGCGAGCGTAGCTCGATATAAAGGGAATGGTGAACATTGTACAAAATCGTATAAGTTATCGTATCGATATAATCTTGTCGAATTTAAGATTTAAGAGTAGCGATAAGAAGATACTCTCTTGGCGAACTTTCTACCCTGTTCCGTGTTTGTTCGTTGGTTGGAAACGATCGTGTCAATTCGTGCCAGATGAATTTTAATTTTTGTAGTTTCGTGTAAAAATTGTAACTTTATGATATTTATTATTTGCGCGCAATGATCGTGAAAAAAAAATTCAATATTTAGATTTGCAGAAATTAAATTCCTCGTATTTGGAGAATATAGCAAATAATATTTTTAATAAAATAACCGCTTTGGCCCTTTACTGCGATATTTATTCAATAATAATAATATTGCAGGAACGCAAAATTAAATTTAAATTGCGACATTAAATAATGATAGCTGTGGCAAATGATTTAATAATATGCCATATTGTACAGATCATTTTCATTATATTAATTGATGGGTACGTATAATAAGTAATTATTATAGAGTATACGAACATGGTAAATTGAATATTCACATTCCAATTTTAGAAGCGATAAGTGACACTATCACCTTCCTTAAAATTTCAAAGTATTTGAACGAATGTGTAAAGTCAGTGTATGTACAGTCACCTTCTCTGAATGTGTTCATTCATCATTTACCGATCTAAGTCCACTGTTACAAAATTGTTCTATATTCAGGGTGAAATATGGCTTTCTGACTTATACATCTAACCCTTTCATTATCTTCCACTTATAAAAAGCTCTGCGTCGTCTTCAGTGACTAGTAAATGATAGATGACTATAGTTACCCTTAGTAGTGAAAGGGTTAATAAAATATTAAAAGTTCAAGAAGAAAATCTGTTACTATATTTTGATCACAAATGCAATTACATATTATGATAATAAAACGACTCTACTAATATTTTACTTTCAACAATTACATTCAAACAACTCGTTTGCCTTTTAAATTGCAAACATAATTCACGTTATTCTGGTTCTCGTGGTTCACCTAGGTAAGCAGAAACTCGCAAATGCAAAAATTCAGCTCGAAAAGGCTGAATTCACCGAACTGGGACAAGATAATGAGGGGTTGATGTATGAGAAAAGTTACGCCGTTGAAACAACCTCCGTGTTTCTTAGCCCCGTCCGCTCGATAGCAGAGGTTCGCGTGCCTTCGACTGTCAATAACAAACAGCCCCGTCGTTACGGGATTTTCTTTCAAAGCATCAAGCCTCCGAGATCCGCGATACGCTTTAAAATTGCTTCCGCTAATCGATTAATCAATTTCACTTAACCCTCTTTCTATACGAATCGTTAAAACGTGAATCGGATCCGATCGATTTAATCGAACGGAAGAATTTCGCGCGAACGACCGTTGAATAAATGAAAATTTGATGAAATTAATCGATAGAAAAAAGCATTGGCTACTCTACCGAACGAATTCACGATCATTGTTAAGTGCAATTAATAAATGTACTTCTAAATTGTATCAAAAATGAGCTCTGGAGAAAGTGACGATTGTAAACCGGCTGTACATAAATTCGAGTTTTAATTTCCAACACCAATTTAAATCGTCGCTCTATTAAATCGATCGTAATTTAAGAGTAATTGCACGATCGCGGAACGGGGTAAAATGTCATTGTTAATATGAAGGTAGGGACGGAGGAAGGGTTTCGATTGCGAACGATATACGAGAGAACCGCACCGCGGTTGACCCTCCACGCATGGATATACACAGGTGCAGGGCTAGAGCAATTAATAGGAAACATTTCGAAAATGAACGCATCTACGGTTCGGTATCGGTTGATCTAAATCGAACCGGTTGATTGGAGGCAGTTGCGGGCAAAGTTTTCGGGGTCAAGCGCCCTTCATTCGGGCTCGAAATGAAAATCCGCGGCCCGTGATGGACGAAGATGATCAAAATAGAGTTTCGAGCATGTCGTTGTATACATCGCTCCATCAGACGGGATTTCAACGGGCCGGAATTGCACGCTTATTGTTCGCTTCAGTCCGCTCGTGAGACGCGTCATGAAAGCAGCCTTCCGACCTAAAGTAACCATTACTAATCACTCATTTATAGTTCCATTTTACATCTAATTTCTTTGTTTTAATTGTATATGTTCACTTACATTTTGGATATCGTTTCAAGATGACGTTGCGTCGAAACGAACGTTCGAAAGGAGAAATTAATTATATTATACTAATCACACTACCCCTGCAGTGGGCTTTCGCAGGTATAATACTAGTTTCAGAGAAGCTTTTTTCTGATCCTTGTAATTTCACCCTTGCCCTCTGTTTGCCACTCGGTCGTTGCTCTCACTAGCCCATTTCTTCCCTTCTCTTTCGTCCATTTCTAGCCATTTATCTATCTTGCTCGTCTCTCTCTCTCTATCTCTATCTGGTCTCCTTTTTTCTATTGTCCACGCGACCACCTCGAGAGGAAATTTTGAGGGTGAAGTTGAAACTTCTTCGTTCCCGTACTTGTGTGTCACCCTTAAAACCGGCGATATTACCTTTCTGTGTTAAGCATGACACGAAGATAGCGAAAGAGTAACACAATATCGGCGGACAAACTGTGACAGGTGTTCCATGCACGTTGACCGGGTGTAAATTAGTCGGAAGAAAGAAATAAAGGGAGGATTCGTCGTTTAACGACGAGGAACGACGATGCAATTTGCATTAGACGTAAACAATTGAAAGTCGATATTTCTTTTTTTTGTGTGTCTTTCTTTCTCTCCTGTCGGAGTACATCGATCGTTTAGAACAATCCGCGTGGACGGGCGGGAAAGAGAACTCATAAATAATGCATAATGTTTTTCGGACGTTGGCTCATCCCTCAACGAACCAAGAGTTCCATGTCCTCGTTTCTTCGTTTCCCTTTTCTCGTCCCTCGAAACGACCCTAACATTTCCCGAACATTTTTACCTTTCTCCAGGGACCGTTGCGTTCGATGCTTGCCGGAATCGCTTTTTCCAATTTCCTTCGCTACCCGCTATTTAACGCATTTGAATAACTTGGTCCGCGTGAGAGGAGCACGCGCCTCTCTGCTTCTCTCGCGATAGTGTATGGTTCACGAGGCATGGCTGTAAGAGGAGGAAAAACGAGGATAACAGCCGCCGATGATTGATCACCGTAAAACGAAAACCCACCCGCCTTGAAACCGTCCGTATATACATATATCCCCAATGTCCGAAAAACATTCGTTGGTTAAGCCACCCTCCGTCGCGAATACGAAAGAGGGTTGGCCGATCGGGCGCGAACGAATTTCCTCGAACAAGAGAAGATTTTTCTGGAGAGATCGAAACGATCGGTTTTAAATTCCACCGAGATTCTCGTCCGACTGCTCGTGGTAGATTGTACTAAACTTGTGAATTTGTGGGAAGGAAAAGGTACTTAATAAATGTACGAGGGTTGATGCTGATTTTCCGTGAAGTTTCGGATAGATTATTATTTGTTCGTTGAATAAGATTAAAATATGCCTTCGAACGTGGACTAATTTTTTAGGAAATTTCAGTGGATAGGAAAGGTGAATGACACTGGCTTATTTGCATAGATGTTTAATTAATATGATTTTTCTTGGGTGTAAAGAAATATTGAAATTTGTAAAATATGAAGTTATGGGAAATATATTTTTTTTGATACAATGAAACGCTCACTGCCACATTTTTATATGAAATGTTAAATTAATGAATTTTAACAGACGCGTGGAAAAAGGAAATAATGATATAAGTAATTTTTCAATTTTTCACAAGTTGCTTTTTATTCAAAGTTTGAGCAAGTACATTACATTACAATGCAATCGGAGATAAATAAAACCTTTCTATGGTTCTTATATAAAAATAGAAAAAGAGGTAAATTTAACGTTAGATAGTAAAAGACTAAAGTAATTATTTAAATCATACGAAAGTGTTACACTGTTAAATGATGGTAATCTTGAATTACAATTAATTCACTGACAGTTGAAGACATTTCAGTGCCATCGAATATTCAAACCTATTATATTTCTCTCTCAACTGAATTTCGATTAGCCAGATACAGTTTCGTACAATTAGATGATCGATTATCGAATAACCAAGTGCATGGTACATCGTGTTCGCAGTTTCTCCGTTTCGACGCGTCAACCGCATCTACCACCAGGTTTTGGCTCT